TGACAAGGACAGGCGCGCCCCAGAGCAAGCCTGCAACTAGACGACTGTTCGAGCGTCAGATAGAGAGACGGGCAGCGCCCGAGGATCGCAGCTGAGTCGGAATTGATTAACCGCTACGCGTTGCTGGATCAGTCATGCGAATCCCTCAATCAGGAGCCCGCGAGATGGGACAACGATCAGGGCTTCGGGACAGGTGCTCAGATCGCGACAAGGTCCAGCCCGCCACACTTGGGACGTGCAGTTGCAGTGCAGGTGACAGCGGCCTGAAGAGAGGGGGGGGAGGGACCGATATCCGTAGGATACACGAATATAGATGAATTCGAACAACGGGCTCGGGTTGGTGGATGGGGGCAGGAAGAATACTCCGAGCCAAGGTGGGAGGGCGCCATCCCGCGGGTTCCCAACCACGAGGCACACAAGATTCCGAAAATGCAGGAAAACACTGTGAGGTTTCTTGAGGGGGGTGCCACGAGTTACAGATCCACGGGCTGCTTCGTTTGATGCGGAGCATTAAGACAGGCGAGAGGTCTTAAGACGGGCGAGATATCCCAAGCTGCCTCGTGCTCCGTACAAGTCAACCGCTTTTCCCAGAACTTCAGGTCAAAGCGCTGAGTGGGCGACGCTGGGCTTCCTTCTGCCACTTCATTCGCAGCGTTAACGAGCAGGTCGGGACCGCGGCGGGCAGAAACTCGACAATGGCGGAGTTGGGAACGTGAGGACGGGATAAGCTTGCTTGCAGAATGGATTACGCCATGCCGTACCGCGGTAGAAAGGACCGTGTGAACCGCCCGCCCACAGCCCGAGCTCGACGCCCACAGCCCGAGCTCGACGAGATCGCGGCGTGTCGAAGGGTCATCCCGACGGAAAGAGTCCACAAAATGCAAGAAATTCGAGATTTGCATCTTGGTACGGACAGAGACTGTTTGTGCGTCTGTGGCGGATAAGGTGTAGGAGACAAGACACGGTCGAAATGGTTAATCATCACTCTGGTGGAAGTCTGGGCGACGCCAACAGGAACAGACGCTGTCCCCTGCTGTGACATTGTCTGTCAGGCTGCCAGTCTCGACAGCATTCGACGGATGTTTCGGTCCCCAACACCTTATTTGAATAAAGTAGGGAGCAGATTTCCACTCCGCAAAAGATTGGACGATTCGACGTGAGGCCCTTGGTTGGCGGATTGCAATTGACGAACCGCGCTGCTAAGTACCACGGCAATGGTCTCAACTTTTGATTGTGTACTTGCCTCCACCGTTGGCCGATGGTCATCGAGAGATCGCCGTCAATTTGCAGCGTAATCAAGTACAGATACGGAGTTTTTTCCTCCCGTGGGGCTGCCATGTTTTTCTTTCTTTATCGCACCCGATCCTCCTTTTTTTACTCAAATCTTCTGCGCGACAGCGGCATGCTCCTAGGACGGACCCTGATGAAGAGAGCGATGAGTCGCGTCGTAGGACTCTGGACATCGCAGAGCTTGCTTGCCAGGATCCACATTGATGTGCCGCCCAAAGTCAGGCCCCGGGTCTGATGGCAGTAAATTCGGAAGAATTCGCACTATGCAGCTGCTAGTGTCCAAGTTGGCTGACGAAGGTGATGGCGGGCCCTTGTATCGGCTGCACAGTAGTATTATGAGCCGGGGCATGGTGATATAAGGTATGGCCACACGGATCCGTCCCCTCCCCAAACACACAAGCCTCTGTTTGTGTGGGATGCTATGCAGAAGCGGCGATCCGGGTTCGTCGAGGTTTCTTGGGTGTGTGGCCGAGAGAACCCAGACGGGCCCAGAGGCAAGCACCGGGCTTCAGGGACAACCCGTGTAGTGACGATGGCAACTCGGGGAGTCGGGGGGCGGTTGATCGTGAATGGGGCTTGAGCGCTTCGGCAGATGATCTTTTTCGAGGTTGAATTCGTCATCCGGCTGGAGAGGGACAGTAGAAGGTTGCATTCTTGCGCGTATTTTGGACGATGGCGACAATGCACGCTTGGATGCATTTTGGCATCTCTCATTTGCGGGTGCGACACTGGATTGAAGTTGCTGGCCTGCGCCGCAGGTTTCTCGTATGTCTCCCGTCCAGAGGCCTTCACCCCGGTGCGACGTCGACTCATGTAGCGACAGTCATGTGTTGGGTATATGCGTCCAGAGCACGAAGTACTGCGGTACATGACACGCTGCGTGCTGGAGGAAAAGCACAGGTTAGCAGTCAGTAGAGTGAGAGAGTGGATGAAAGGTAATTAGACGCGTAGTGTTTCTGCAATCGAGGAGGTGATGTGACGATCTGGCCGGCCATCAGCAGCCAGATCAGCGCCGATGGAGATGTACTGCGTAGATGCTGATGTTCCGTCCAAACTCTGAGGCGTTCCAAGCGCACCGTACCGTCGAACGCGAACGCCGTCAGTGCCTTCCAGTTCTAGTCCCAGCGCATAAGGTAAGAACGGAGTCTCGCTCCCAACTCCAAGGCTCTTGAGTCTTGACCGGAGGAGTGGCAACGGGCGGCGCGAGGCCATCTCTGGGACCTGGGTTGCTGGGGGAAGCGAATCGAGGCCGAAAAGAGACGGGTGCAATCGTTTTGGGCCCGTAATTCCAGGGCACAGATGCGAGGTCAAGACGACAGAATTTCCAAACGAGACTGACAATTTCCCTCATCAGCATCCGGTGCTGAACGGCGGCGTCTGCCATTGGCTGTGACGGGCTAGATGCATGGAAGACAAGCGGAGCTCAAATTTAGGGGAGCGACCAGGGATGTCCAGGCCCTTGTCATGTGCGGAGCAAGGACCGTCCTGGTTTGTCAATGGTTGGCCTTTCGAGAGTGTGGGTCATTGTCGTCGACATGGAGGGGCCCCTGCGTCAGCAGATACGTACCTACGAACACCCCGTCGAGAGATGAGAGATGACACTGAGAGATGGACAAGACGCTAGCACCTCGAGCAGAACCTAGCACCTGGCGCTAGCACTTCATCTCTGCGGGCTCCCACGAGTCTTTCATGTCTTGCCTGCTTGAGGTACTGCGTAAGTGTCGACGAGATTTCGCTGCAATTGGCGTCGTGGTTTTGAACGTGGAACGCCTCTTTTCTTTCTCTGCCGGGATCAACGGGCGGCGGACGGAACGGCAGAGACAAAGACGCGGACACGCGACAGCAACCCAGGAAACAAGTCTACGTTTCGAGCGCCATTATGCTGTAAGAGGCTCGTTTCTTGAGTTGCCTTCTCTTGTAAAATACGTTTACTGTTAGAGCTTAGGTTGATTGTACCCATGTTCTCAGTACCTCTTACTCATATCCGTAGGTACTCTGTAAGGTAGGTACTCAGTAAGGTACCATCTGCTGCAAAGAAAATACTGCCGGCACATGGGCGGCCCGTGCGCGACTTCCTTCTCTGCCGTTCGTTCGGTCCATGGTGCTGACGGGATATCTTCTGTTTTCTCAACTTCCATCCCCAGCCCGTCGTCCCGTTTGGCGTACAGATGTATCCGTAGTACCGGATGTTTTCTGTTTTCCAGAGAAAGGTCGTGACCGGTACAGATACGGGCTAGGAACATTTCTTGCGGAGCCACGGGAGCCTCTACTCGCTTGGCCTGTTGTTGATCGACCGTTGCCCTTCCCTTCTGCGCGTGGGATTGGGTCACATTATTTTAGAAAAACGAACCAAAGACAAACGGTTCTTTTAAGTCTGCTAATCGCTTACCATAGTACTGCCTATCGCTACGGATACGATGCCGCTACCTACCTTACCTGCCTTTATCCGTCACCTACTATTCGGATCGTGAGTATACCGCGACCGCATATGAGTACCCAAACACTAGTCGCGGTCGCAACGAGTCTCAAGTCACAGACTCCCGCGCAAGTTGCAACAGCAAGAGTCAGGCCCCCTGATTTCTGTCCCCATCTGCCTCCCAGAAGCCATGAGGTTCCTTGTGCTTGGGTGGTGGTTGTGGCCGCCCCCTGCTGCAGCTGGAGGTCCTCAACTTGGTCTAGTGCCCTGAACCTCCCCTGGTCGAATAGTGGCACCGTAACGCTGCGCTGCATGCCCCTTGCACATCCGTCCATGTCCCCCGTCCCTCCATCTGCGAACGCTTCTCTCGCCCTTCTTTTTTTCCCCCCCCTCGCTGCTGCGTGCTTTTGGTATATGGGGCCTGAATGATGTACCTATCGCGACAAGTACTCCAGCTGGTGGGCAGACAGAAACCATTTGTATCCGTACCTACTTACATGGACTATTGCAGGAGCTAAGGTAGGTACATGCAGCACAGTACAGCCGCAGCCCGGTCCGCTCTCTACCCAACGCACTCGCACTCCCCCAGTGCCATTGCCATTGCCATAGCCATAGCCATTGACCACTGCTCTTCCGTCTGACGGTGACTTCCATTGTTTGTTCACACTTCCATTCCTCTTCCAGCTTCGCGTCCAGTGCTTGGTCCCTTTCGCTTCATCCTAGTCTGCCCACCAGTGGCACACCCACGATTTCTTGCCATCGCCTCTGTCTCTCTCTGCCTTCTTCTCCTTCTTCTCCCGCACGCCCTCGCCTTCCACTTCCCCCCCAAATTCGTCTTATCCCGACACCCCCCTTGACCACCCTCTCCTTTTACCTGAACTACCTCTTCTTGTCTCGTCTCCGTTCTTCCCCTTCTCTCCCTCCTTTCTTGTTTCTTCTCTCCCCCCACCTGTCACCGAACAGTCTGCCAGTCAAGCAATCCGTCTGCGCCTGAGCATCAACTCTTGCTCGACCGGACCAGACAATCGTCGTTGCTCCCTCCGATGCCATTTCGAATGGCGGCCCTTTGAGTAACTCTTCGACCCGACTCTTCCGTGACGAGAGCTTGCTCTCCTGGTAGCCTGTCTGCCTTCTAATTCATCGAACCCGATTCCAATTCGGCTTTTCTTTCGACACGCTGGACAGCTCGTGGCGAACTGGAACAACACCGACCAGATCGCTTTTACATTCCCTCCCGACCCAACTACACAGCTCGAACCGGTTTTTAAACAGACGATAATTCACTACCGACGAAATGGCGCCTTCGCTGCACGCACACTCGTCCTTTACCCGGCCCCGAACCGGCGATCGCGATGGCCGACCGGTCACTCGTGATCAGGCCGATAGCAACCTCGTTATCCCGAGCCGTACCTCTTCTCTGCACTCGCGCATCACCCAGCCGATCCCCTCGACTCTGAACGCGAAGCCCCAGCAGCGGACCCCGAAGACCCTCACCCACGCCTACATGGTGTGTGGTGTTGGCAGAGAGCCTTCGCAATGGGTCAAGGCACCCGCCCTCGCTCAGGGAAAGATTGGTCACATGAAGGGCGCCGTCGGTCAATTCTGGCTGCCTGAGATCCTCGGAAGCAGTCCTAGACTGGAGCAGGACAACGAGATTGCCAGGTCGTTGCACGCCGCCATGCGGGTTAGTTGCTAATCTGGACCCGAGGATGTGTAGAGTTTGTGGCTTACATGCGATAGGCTTGCTTTCCCCACGACGTTGAGATCTGCACCGGCCGCAGCCAGCCTCATTGCGTCCACCATGCTTTCGTCCTGCAGCAGGATTCTTCCCACACTCTGTACGGTATCTGCCTTCGCGTCTGGTCTAGAGCCGACGAGAAGAGAGCCGAGACAATTCGGGATTTGCGCAAGAGAACTGAGCCCGACTACTACGACAACCCGGATGAGACTTACTGGATCCCTTACTGCTTGTCGTTCTTGTCTCGGTACCCGCTGTACAACCTGCTCGGAGACTATTTGCGAGGCATGTGGATCCACTGGAACAAGGCTACCAACTTGTTTCACGCCGAGGAGGTTTCTCGCATTCTCAGCTTCCCGGCTCCGAGGCTCAACGACTTGGTCCGAATTGACATGAAGGACTATGCTTTGTGCTACCAGTTTCCTTCTTCCCCGACCGGCTTCCAGAACTTCGCCATGTGGCCGTTGTTCACCTGTCTGTCCATTCCCAACATCGTCGGTGTTGTCGAAGCCGCCATCTCTCCCACGCGCCGCATCATTTTCGTCAGTCACTACCCTGCCATGCTTACCATGGCCGCGGAGACAGTGCGATACTGCGTTCGCGTATACGAGTGGAGTGGTCTCTACGTTCCCGTCGTGCATGCTCGTCATGCCAAGGACCTAGTCCAGGAACCGGGCCCTTACATTCTCGGTATCACTGCCGAGTGCCGCTCTCTCTTTACCGCCCCTACCGACGCGCTGGTTGTTGACCTCGACCGCAACTTCGTGCTCACTTCCAGCCCTCCGACTGCGTTGAACCCTGGCCAGCGCAACAAGTTCGTCACTCGCCTCACCCAGTCTCTCAACGGTGATGTCACACCTTCTGGCGTTCCCCCGCATCTGCGGTCTGCCTACGGTGGCGGCAAGCTTGTTCCGGCTGGCCAGATTATTGTCATGCGTGGTGAGGTTGAGTCTATCCAGGACCCCGAGTGGTGGAATCAGGATGCGGTCATGACGGTCATGGACCACGTCTGCGAGAAGATGGGTCGCAACACGGGCATTAAGGCTGTCTTCGGTGGCTCCGTCAAGAAGCCTCTGATGACCAAGGTCTCGATGAGACATCTTAACGAGATTGTCCGCGAGAGGAACCAGTACTCTCGTGATGCCCTCGAGGCCTGGCAAGATTTCATCAACCTCAAGGGTCGCATGGACACGGAGCTCAACAAGGTTACGAAGCGCAACAACTACCTCAATGAAGAGCTTGAGAGCTGGAAACAACAGGTTCGTTGGCACTTGGTCCTACTTGAAGCAATCATGCTAACTCTTAATAGTTCCTCAAGTTCCAGGCTTTTGCGGAACAGCTCACCAAGGAGACGCAGGATCTCAAGGTCAAGATTGAGACTCACAAGAGGGAGAACAGACGTCTCGCCGGTCTTATCGACCAACAGAAGGATGACAACTCTCGCCTCAACAACCGTCTGGGTGCTACCGAGAAGCAGCGTGATGATGCTCTTGAGGCTCTGGTTCTCCAGCAAGAGATTGCTGAGGAACTTGAGCGCGAGCGTAAGCGCAACAAGAAGGAACTTGCTGCCCTTCAGCACACCAACGTCACCATTCTCAGACAGCGTGACGAGGCTCGCCGTGTTGTCCTCCACCTGCGCAGCCTCATCGGCGGCCAAAGCCACCACATGGAGCACTTGGTGCAGTCTTTGACAAAGCCTGACGATCTGGAGCGTGAGCTCGAGGACGGTTTCGACGCCGAGGAGGTTGAGACCGATGGTGTTAGGGACGCCGACGCGAACCAGGCCCGCCTTCTTTCCGCCGCCGCTCAAGCCAACAAGAGGCTCTCGACATCAAGCTTCAAGGATGTCGCCGACCGTCACTTGAAGGACAAGACTGATGCCATCGCGCACATTATCAGAAACATTGCTGAGCAATGCCAGGCCGCAGTGGAGGGACTTCAGATTGCCCAAGATGCCGAGCTTGATGAGCGTGCGGCTAAGCTTCGCGCCCAGCGCCGCCGCAGCAATCTGTCCGCTGCCGGTCAGAGCGACGATGACCACGACACCAGGTCGAATGCGACCTCTGAGATGGGAGAGGACAGCCACCTTCACCCCGTCTCTGGGAGGACGTCTAGCATCCCGCCGACCCCAGACCTGGTCCCCAACAGGAGCAGCACAGCGATGTCATTCGCGTCTAGTGCGGCTACCCCCGAGAGGTCAAGCCAGCAGTACATGATCCGCGACGATATCCCGACCAAGATCGTCGAAGACGATGAGGACTTTGAAGATGAGCGTAGCGAATCCGAGTCCATGCCTCAGCAGCACGGCACTGTCGGCAAGCACACCGACAGCCTTGTGCACAGGCCATCGGGCGCCCGCATCAGCGCTCTGGGCGGCACCCGCTAATCGCTAATCAACGGTTGATGGTGGTCCTAATTTTTCTTTTTTGAATAGGAGTCAGTTACCGACCAGAGAGGCTTCTATTTCACTCTCTGAGTCGACGGGGAGGACGATTTACCGACACTGTGCATATATCTTTTTTGCCTTATACCTTTTTGCGACTGGCGGTCGTGGACAAAATTTCTTCGTGTCCGGCGTTAGCTTTGCCATTTTCTATGTCTTTTTCAGGAGACAAATCTCTGTTATTTTCTTATCGGGTTAATCGACCGGGCTCGCTGGAGGACGGGCTACATGTTCTCACGATGTTATATCATTTGTAGGTTATGAGGGTGGAAGCTTCTACTTAGTTCCGTTCACGTCCCTCCTTGCCCAAAACCAATCCAGCGAGATTACAAGAAATCACCGTTCGTTCGATGTGACATGTGATGCTTGAAGTAAATAGGGCCCGCTCAATCACGTCACCTCCAAAGAGACCAAATATTGGCTAAATATTGGGCATGTCGACGATGATTTTTCGGTCCTGATGTGAAATTTGACCGAATTTAATCCTGTTTCCGTCGCTGAATTGTTAATCTGTTCGGGTCATCAGTCATGTTCTGAAAGGTTGGCAATTAGGTAAGCCAGTCGTCGGAGAAGAGTTGTCCCCAGGTACCTAGGTACCAGACTCCGATAAGCGCGATAACAGAAAAAGTTCCTGGGCACCATCATGCGCCGTGGATCAACTTTCGTCAAGCATCAAAGTGTCCGTCGCCAATTGAAACCAAAACCTCTTCCCTCGACACCGAAACAGTCATCACGTCCAAAGCGTCTTTCAAAAGACCTTCTCAAGCCGCGAGAAACAACAAGCAACCACTCAACGGCCATGGCCGACCCTCTCCTCACAAGCCTCTGCACAATCTGCCACATCGAGCCGCCGAGATACAAGTGCCCGCGCTGCACGATCCGGACATGCTCCCTCGACTGCACGCGGCGCCACAAGGCGTGGTCGTCCTGTAACGGCATCCGCGACGCGACGGCCTACATGCCCCCGTCCAAGCTCAAGACCGCGGCCGGCGTCGACCACGACTACAACTTCATCTCGGGCATCGAGCGCGCCGTCCAGCGCTCCGAGAAGGAGATCGTCGAGGAGCGCGGGCTCCTCCGCCCCGAGGACCTGCGCCCCATCGAGGTCCGCTCCGTCAAGTGGAAGACGGGCAGGGACGGGAGGAAGAGGAGGGTGCTCGTCACGGAGCTGCTGCGCGGGGATAACGCGGCGGCGGCCGCCGCGTCCGGGTCGGGGGCCAAGGGCTCCTCCTCCGACCTCTTGTCTTCCCTGCCGTTTAAGAAGAGGCTGGGCAAGTTCGGGATCCTGCTCAGGCGCGCGCCCATGGGTATGGTGAGGCAGAAGGAGAACGCGACGAGCTTCAGCAAGGCTTCGGGCCGGATCAACTGGCAGGTCGAGTGGCTGCTCGTCGCCCCTTCGACGGAGTCTGCGAAGCAGAAGGAAACCGACGACGAGGACGCCCCGCCGAAATCCGAGACCAAGCGAATCCTCGCCAAGGCCCTCGACGACACGCCCCTCTACAAGGCCTTCTTCGCGGGACAAAAGAGCTTCCAAACCGAACTGGCGAAAAAAGAGCAGCAGAAGAACGCAGAAGGCCACGACGACGACGACGAACCCGCCGACGAAAACCGCGACGCGACGAACCCCCGGCCCCCGAAGAAGCGCCGCAAAAACCACCACAAGCCGGGCCAGTCCATGGCCACGGCCCAGGACACCGAGACGGGCGCCTGGCACCCGGGTCGGTACTGCCTGCAGGGCGGCGGCGCCGGCCCCCGGGCCTCGACGTGGACGCCTCACACGGGCGTGCCGGCCTTCACGGGGACGACGGAGGAAGACGAGGCGCAGAGGAGCAGGTACACCTTCTTCCTCGCGGGCACGACGTCCGCGGCGACGGCGGCCGCGGGGCGCATCGTCGTCCACCCCCTCGACGCGTCCGTGCCCCTCGGCGAGGCCCTCCGCGACATGACGGTGCTCGAGTTCCCGACGATCTACGTCGTCGAGAACGGAAGCGACGCGGAGTTGCCGCGGGCGTTGGTGTCCGAGCCGAAGCCGGTGCTTATCACGCAGAAGCGGAAGCGGGATAACCAGTCGTCCTCTAAGAGAGGCGGCAAGGGCGGCAACAAGAAGATGAGACGGGACCGTGAAGAAGGCGAGCTCGGCAGCGCGGGCGAGGAGAGCGACGATGGGGACGAGGAGGAGGGAAGGCTCGATGCTCTGCAGAACATCATTGCCGAGGAGAGCCTGGGCGAGGACGACTCGGACGAAGAGGACGACACGTCGAGCAGCTCCGGGTCCGACTCGGAGGATGACGAGACCGTCAGCGCCAGTCTCGCGGCCAAGTTGGCCTTGTTGCAAAAGAAGCCCTGAGTGGCGTTCGTGTAAAGATTGGAAGGTTCGGTCACTATCATGATACCCTCGAGGCATCCCAAAGCCTCGTGTATTACTACTTAATATGTCTCAACCAGCACTGGTCAATTCTTTGTCTTCATCATATGCCGCAGGCTTTCCCAACTGCAAACCAAGGTTCGAGATTGTTTCCTCGGAAACCCTTGCAAAACGAGGACGTCGATACAGGCTATCACATCCCTAGTTCGTGGAGAAACACACAGCACCACTGTGTTATAGGACTCACAGAGAAGCACACTCGAATTAATGAGACCGAGGTCCGCACCAAAACATTAAAAAACAAAAGAGCTTTGGATGTATATCCTACATACACATTAAGTGCCGAGGCCTAATGTGTTCCATACAAGACACATGTAGCCTGGCTGAAGGTAATGATGAACGACTCCTGAACATGAAGGTATCTCGTCTAGGCCAAGCGGGAAAATAAAACGCTTGCTATCATGGGCTCAATGCCACTTTGCCTCCCACAAGGAAATCCATTGCGCTTTTCTGTTCTTCTCAATCATGTGCTGGCCGACCTTAGGACTGGCTGGCGAGGTAGTTGGCAGCCTGAAACCACGTTAGACGTCAATCGCTCCCAGTAACCCGATAGAATCAACTTACCCTCTCCAAGTTATAATCATACTTCTCCAGAGCGACCAGGGAAGCTTCTCTTGAGTAACCCATGCTGGTCAGGTTCTTCAGGATGGGATCATCGTGCTCTCCGTCCTGAGTGAGAGCACGACCAGCTGCGGGTCGCGAATCTTGAGCAGGGGCTGGGGCTTCCGTAGCACCCTTCTCCGCGTTTGCGGCGCTGGGCGAATCGAGACTGGCAAAGATGGCATCCCAGTCTTGCGCATCCGGTGCGGCGGGCTTCGCCGCCGCGCCACCGGTAGCAGCAGGGTTGGGCGATACAGCTCCGAAGTCGTAGCTACTCTCGTGTCCAAAAGCCGTCGATTCGGTCTTGGCCTGGCTGGGAGGGGGGCTGCTGTCGAAAACAGGGTTGAAGTCATCGAGGCCAGAGCGGGAAATCGTCTGGAAGTCGTCATCGGCGGAGCCTTCCTTTGCATCCTCGAGGCCTTCGAAGTCGTCATCCAGGTCATCGAAAGAAGACTTGGGCTTGGGCGCGGGCTCTGCAGTTTCCGCAGCAGCAGGAGCGGGAGCAGCAGGAGCAACAGGAGCAACAGGAGAAGCAGGAGTCGCCTCAGGAGCCGGAGCATCTGAAGCCGCCGTGGTCTCCGCAGTGGCGGGCTTGGGTGAGGTGGGCAAGGAGTCCGCAGCCGGAGCAGGGGTCTCATCAGCCGGAGCGGGTGCCACGGCCGCAGCTGCAGGCGGAGGGGACGTGGCATCCTTGGGTGCCTCTGTCTTCTTGGCCTGAGGAGACGCGGGAGCGAAGTCGTCGTCGAAGCCGCCGCGCTCACTTGCGCTGTCCGACTCGTCATCGTCGCGATCAAGCTCGGAGATGGGAGGGAATTCAGAGTCGAACGCTGAGAAAGATTTGGCTCCGTCAGCACCGGACTTGTCTGAGCTCTTGTGTGCGCTCGTGAAGCTTGCAAAAGCATTGTCAAAATCAGCCTTGGCCTTGTTCTGGTCCATGGCCGCGAAGGGGTCTGAGTCGGCCGCGTCAGTAGTCGCTGCAACACCGATCTCCGGCTTAGCATCAACCTGAGCTGCAGGCTCTGGGTTGCTCGCAGTAGAGGTTGATGCGGTGCTCTCGCCTGTTGGCGTGGGTTCAACAGGGAAAGCTCCAGGCAGCGCGCTGGCCGAGGGAGTCTCGCCGCCCTCGGCACGGGAGGCAGGGGGAGACACTGCCCTCGATGAGCTCAGAGATTCGGCAGCATCGGGGAATGGGAGAAAGCTGGAGCTAATTTGTCTCGACTCAGGTGGGGCAGGAGGCTCAGCCGTGAGTGTAGCCTGACGACTAGCCGTGGGTGATGTGGGAACAGGAGGATTCGAAAACGAGCCCATGCTAGCTGTCGACGCACCTGTGTGCTGTGGCATAAAAGACGTGGCAGGCGGCGGCGTGCTGGTGGACGCAGGAGGAGGGAAAGCTGGCCCAAAGACATCGTCAAAAGACTTGTCACCACCAAAGGGCTTGGAAGGAGGCGGCGAGGTGAAGGTACCCATCACGTCAGTGCTCGCTGTCCTACGGAAGAAGGGGTTGTTTCCGCTCGCGGTTGAGGGCGCCGGGCTCGCAACTTGCGCCGACGTCGCCACAGGGGAGCTGGTGTTGGCTTGTCTAGACAAGTCCTCGTTGCTCTTGGTAAGATCAGTCAGTTCGGACTGCAGCTTGTCGCGCTCACCCTCGTTTGTGACCAGTTGCTTCTTGTTAATTGCAACCAGTCCCTTTTGCTGTCTGGCCTCAGACTTGAGCTTCTCGATTTGAGGCTTGATTTGGGCAATCTCGGCATTGACTGTACGGATCTTCTCCTTAAGGCTGGCGTTCTCTTGCTGGTCAGCCTGCAGCCCAGCCAAAACTTGCTGATGCTGGGTTTGCAGGTCTCTGTAAGAGCCGTCCAACGTCATGCACTCGGCTTGGAGCTTCTTGGTCTCGTTTCTCGACGTGTTGAGCTGTACCTGCAAAGCTTCTACATCCTTAGCTTCCTTCTCGTACAAGGTACGGAGCTGGGCTAGTCGCTGCTCAAAGTTCTTCTTCTGCGAGTTCGCTTGGTTAAGGTCGTTCTGCGTGGACGTGCGCTGTCCTTGAACCTCTTGCATCTGCTTAGACAAGGAGCCAACTTGGTTGGACAAGTTCGCCAACTCGGCAGTCTCGTTTGTAAGCTTCTTGCTGACTTCAGGATCGCCATCGCCGAGGAGATCCTCGGATACGGAGGGGGCCGGCGGCCTGCCTGAGTTCGAATCTCCCGTAGGCTGCGCAGTGAGTCCACGACCAAAAGATGAAGACGGCACAAAGGGCTTGAACTGGTTTCCAGTCGGAGATGGGCGAATGGGAGAAGAAGGGGCCAAAACAGCTGAGCCGGATCCAAAAGGATCATTCGCTGTCGAACCGCCAGTGGAGAGGGCAACCTGGGCGGGAGCAGGAGCGGGCGGAGTGTCCAGACCAAATAAATCGTCAAGAGCAGACTTCGGTGCCGGAGGGGCCGGGGCCGGGGCCGGAGCCGGAGGTTGAGGCTGGGGAGGGGCATCGAATGGTGAGCCTGAGGTCGTAGGTCGCGCCTGGGTGCGGAAGCTGGGCGGGATGAGGTTAGGAGGCAAGGCTGAAGGAAGAGCTGAGCCATCCCGTCTGCCTCTTTGTTGTCGAATTAGGTACATGGCAACGGCGAAGGTGTCGCGGGTCAATCGGCCATCAGAGTTAATGTCTGAAAGGTCCCAGATCTGCGCCAGGGCATCTTCGGGAAGGTTGGACTGACTCAGGAAAGGGACGGCCTCCTCGCCAGTAATAAACCCTTTACGAGTCTTGTCCAAGTCGTCATATAGAGCGTCAAAACGGGCCTTGTCGGCCGGAGTGATGAGCCAGTCACTTCCTTGCTGACCCGTTGTTTGCGCAGTAATGGGAGGGCGTCCAAGGGGGCTGCCGGCGCGGAACTGGGCCGAACCACTGAGTTGTCTCGGAATGGCAGAGATGGGACCAGTGCCTGTAGGCGACTGGCGAGGCGCGGCAGGCCCGCGACGGGTTGCGGCCTCGTAGAGGGCAGCCGGGAGAATATTAGGCAGGCCCCTGAGAGCACCGGTCTTCATCGATGTGAGCAGATGCATAGCAATGACGAACTCTGTCGAAACCAAGGCGCCGCGTTGCTCTGTATCAGCCAATTGCCAGATCCTACCCAGAACTTCGTTTGGCAGACCGGACTTCTCGAAGATAGACTTGGCCTGGTCACCAGGCAAGAGATTACCCGCTTGGAGCGGCTGGCGCTCGAACAGTCCAGCATATTGATTAACCTTCTCCGGGGTCAGCGGAGGGATTCGGATCGGTCCTCCGCCGGTGCCTTGGGCCTGGAGAGCGGCGGCGGGAGGAGGTGTGGGAGACTGAAGAGGACCCGCGGGAGGAGGGGGCATGCCGTCGAATCGCGGCAGCGGTCCCTGTTGGAGGGCCAGTTCCGGCGTTGGTTCCCGTCCGGCTTGGGCATGTCCGATGAGCCGCAGCACAAGGCCGAAGCCGGCTGGGGTCAGAAAGCCCCGATTCTCCTTATCCGCGATTTGCCATATCTGTTGTGGTTGTCGTCAGCTACCTTACTCGGGCCGGCTCCGCATCGGCGTCAATCAGTCCTCACCTCTCCCAGTATTCTCGAATCGAGGCGAGTCTTCTCGAAGAACTTGACTGCAGTCTCTCCGGTAACTACACCAACACCTTCTGTATCGGCTTGGCGGAAAAGCTGGCCGTAGAAACGCTTCTCTTCGGCATTCAGGTTGAGGTTCGGCACAGCTGTGAGACAGGACTGTCGTCAGCACCCGACTCCTAACCATCGGCGCGCAACGCGCTGCAATTATTTGGGGTAGCCGACTTACCCGCATCAACGCCTTCGGCAGACATGGCGGCGTAGAGCTCCTACTACAGGAGTTGAGGTGTCGCAACAGTTGATTTGGCTAGAGGGTAGATCGGTCGTCGGTTTCGATACGGCCTCCGGGGGGGCTGGGGGATGAACTGTGAGTCTGGCGACCAGAGAATAACACGTTAGATTCAACAGTAAATACAAAGCAACCAGTGGAGCAGATGCAGGAAATATCGTACCTTGTGCACAGATGATGGCCCGGCCCTTTAGTCCCAGAGATTTGGCCTTGGAAGGAGAGGAGGTGGCTTGGATTGATGCTGTTTGTAGACTGTGGACGTGCTGTGGGTTGGTTGGTCTCTCTGGGAAGGTCGTCAGGCTGGTAATTCGCAAGCAGAGCCACCTGCCACCTTACGCCGGTACGTACCAGTTCTGTGTTAATGAGCACCGAGTTGCCCCGTAAAAGCTTGGGCACTCTGTCCACCCCAATCCCCGGTTTGAATGCACATCCGACTTCTCCGCTCCGTGCTTCTGGTGATAAAAATATCATATTCAAGACGGATACATCCATGGAGGAGCAGGTTTATCATTATATCCAAATCCCTAATGAACATGTGCACTCTAGGTGCAGACCCAATTCATAGATTCACAATCCTGTCAATTGGGGGCTCTTTCACATGAAGCTAAACGCATTCAGCACGCTGACTGAGACAAAGGATCATTGCGGTGTTGAGAGCATAAAGTTGATTCATCCCCATAACATTAAAGTTGGCTATTCTTTTCTCACTCTAACAACTGAAGTAAACACGCCATTGGCCCATAGGACTGCTTCAGCGCAAAGATCCATAACAGAGCCAGCGCCCCAAGAAGAATAGGGGGGTTGCTTAGCGACTTCGTCCGCATCCAAACGCCGAGATATACACATCTTAGTACTCAGCCTCGAGACCCTCCTCGCCCTCGAGGGAGTCGGCCGCAACCTCCTCGTAGTCGCGCTCCAGAGCAGCGAGATCCTCACGAGCCTCAGAGAACTCACCCTCCTCCATACCCTCACCAACGTACCAGTGGACGAAGGCGCGCTTGGAGTACATGAGGTCGAACTTGGTGGACAGAGCGGACCAGGCCTCGGCGATCGCGGTCGTGTTGGAAAGCATGCAGCTGGTTATTCAATTAGTATGGCTTACTGTTCCAGGGATGAGGAGAACTTACACAGCACGGCTGACCTTGGCGAGGTCACCGTTGGGCACCATCTGGGGAGCCTGGTAGCAGATACCAAGCTTGAAACCAGTGGGGCACCAGTCGACAAACTGGATGGTGCGCTTGGTCTTGAGGGTAGCGACAGCGGCGTGGGCGTCGTTGGGGACGACGTCACCGCGGTACAGCAAGCAGGTGGCCATGTACTTGCCGTGGCGGGGGTCACACTTGACCATCTGGTTGTTGGGCTCGAAGCAGGACATGGTCATCTCCTGGACGGAGTTGGCCTCGTGGGCGGCCTTGGCGGCAGAGATCATAGGGGCGTAGGCGACAAGAGGGAAGTGAATGCGAGGGTAGGGGACCAGGTTGGTCTGGAACTCGTTCAGGTCGACGTTAAGGGAGCCGTCGAAACGGAGGGAGGCGGTAATGGAGGAAACGACTGGAACAGGTGTTAGCGACCCGGTGCTTCAAACAAACGATACAGTCCGAGACTTACCCTGAGCAATCAGGCGGTTGAGGTTCTCGTAGTTGGGGCGCTCGAGACCCAGGTTGCGACGGCAAATGTCGTAAATGGCCTCGTTGTCGACCATGAAGGAGCAGTCGGAGTGCTCAAGGGTAGTGTGGGTGGTAAGGATAGAGTTGTACGGCTCGACAACGGAAGTGGCAGTCTGAGGGGCAGGGTAGACGCAGAACTCGAGCTTGGACTTCTTGCCATAGTCGACGGACAGGCGCTCCATAAGGAGAGCGCCGAAACCAGAACCGGTACCACCACCGAAAGAGTGGAAAACGAGGAAGCCCTGGAGACCAACGCAGTTGTCGGCAACGCGGCGAACCTTGTCGAGAACCTGGTCGATGAGCTCCTTGCCCACGGTGTAGTGGCCACGAGCGTAGTTGTTGGAAGCATCCTCCTTGCCGGTGATCATGTGCTCGGGGTGGAAGAGACCGCGGTAGGGACCGGTGCGAACCTCGTCGACGACGTTGGGCTCAAGATCGCAGTAGATGGCGCGGGGGACGTACTTGCCCTGGCCTGGAGCGGATGTGTGAGTGGCAAGCCGGGGGCAAAAGATTTTCAGGTTGAAGCGTACCAGTCTCGGAGAAGAAAGTGCTGAAGCCATGGTCGGGATCGGCTTGCTTACGCTCCTCGGTCAAGTATCCATCGGGCTGAAAAAGACGGCGCGTTAGAATCACCAGAACTTAGTAGAGGCGGCGGGGTGGTAGCATACCTGGATACCGTGCTCAAGGCAGTAGAGCTAGAAGGAGAACAGTTGTTAGCCATCAAGTTAGGTGAACAGGCCGTCGCGATGTCGAAATTGGTCGGGCAGGCAGCTTTTTCGACTCGAATCGACTCGGCGACGTGGCGGCGGCTAATAAACAAATATCAAGACGTACCTCCCAGCAGGAGTTGGCGATCTGGCAACCGGCCTGACCGACTACACGGCAGAGTCAGCAAAAAGCATCCCAAAGTAAGAGACGAAAACATGGACGTGGTAGGCGACGGGTGCAGTCGCATCGCAGCTCGCAATGGATACGGGGGCGGCGATGCGGTGAAGGACGACGCGTGGGGTCAGGGGAGATCAAAACAAAACATTCGACTTACCGTTGATGCTAATGACCTCACGCATGTTGGCGGCGTTCTGAGGAAAATGGGACAAGCGACTGGAGTTGAGGAAAAGAGCAGGACCGGAGGCGAGGAGATCGAAAGCAAGCAAAAAAGGTGTTTTTGCAGCTATCACGAGAGGACGGGATGTCGACGGGAGGTTGAAAAGGATAGGTTAGGTTGGCCTGGGTTGTGGAGGTGACTTGAAGTGTGCCGGGCTCGTGCTCCTCGTTTTTTTGGTGGTGCTGGGCTTCCTCTCTGGACGGGGGGTTCCTCAGGTGGCCGTCGGGTGGTCCAGTGTCAACTCGGGGCGACCTGAGGTGGGGTGGGAAATTTGGTGCGCAACAGGGGCCGTGCAGCAGTTTTTGTTGATATGAGGGTCCCCCCGAATTGGTAAGCGCGTCTGTCCACCTCTCCCGTTGTCGTGGTCGTGGGTAACAAGTCGTCCAATGGACCAATGACAGGGGCCGACCACGGCTGCTTCGGGGGTCTTTATTGGCTGTTTGGTGGAGACCGCTTCGGCAGGTACAGGCCAGTCATTGGGCTGGCAGCTGGGCAGGAGCCGCCAGGGCCCCGTTCACCGCACTTCGCTGGCCGCCGGACTTGCACGCCAGGCAGTGACAGTTTGCCGTGCATGACGCACGAGGCAAGAACCTAAGACTCGACAGTCGTCCACAGGCAGGTACGATGCCGTTTTCCTTCCTTCCCAGGCTGCCTTTTTATTTTTTCCTTCTCTTTGTTTCTGCCAGATTATCCATTTCAGTCCTCGGGTTCTACTCCCTCTGCACCATGTATGGATACCCAAGCCAAGACTGGGAAGCTAAGGTGCCTCAAGTGAGGTGGCAAGCAGACAAGCGTAAAACATCCGTTGAAGAAAACCAACACAAACCGCCAGTCCCGTCTGGCCTGCAAGCCTGCAAGATGAGGCACATGAACCTGAAGAGACCCAGGCACAGACACCGGATTCGCTTAATTTCGATTTGCCTCGCCGTACCGCTAGCCAACATGGCCGTTATTTCGTTCCCAGCTGGCTTATTTCGGATACGATTTACCATAGTCAAGAGTCATTCAGACACCCAAGAGAGGACATCTATATCTTCCATGCTTTGAGTACACATCTCATTCAACCAACACAAGACTCGAAGCTGCTGCTTAGACTCTCGACTGAATTGACAAAATACCTCCAAGCCGTCGTACCTTAACTGCATTTACTCATCCAGGCTCCAGGTATCGAATAGTGGAAACAGACCCATCGGTGACCCGTGGCGGCGGGAACTGCAGCCATCATGTTTCAATGTTTTGTATGTTTCATGGAAGCCTAGCCGGCTGCCCAAGACAATGTGCATAGCCGGCAGAGGAACACCTTGAGAGAAAAGTTGATTCCATTTGCACTACGCATACTGGCTCCAAGACATGTGTCCCCGAGCCACCGACAAACAGCACAGGGCACTCCAAATCGCTCATCCCAGACCCCTGCCCGATCACCCACACTCATCCCGTTTCCTGAATCCAATCCATTGGACGGATTACAACGGAAGAGACGTACCCTGCCAAGTCCCTTCTCCAACGCCGCTTCAACCAAGCTTCACCAGAGCGCCTTGCTGATCACTATTATCAACCGCACTTCATTGCTCGTCACGAGCGCTACACCAGGCAATCACATTTCCAACCAACCTCTGCCTCATTTTCGACCGCCCCCCACACCCACCTTGGCTCGGCGCCGGCTGTTTGACATGCGTCATTCACTCTTCTTCGGTGTTTCCCTGGCCATCGGCCTCGACGTCGTCCAGGCCAACACCGAGAAGGTCATATTCCTTGGACCCGAGACCGTCAACGTCCCGACAACACCGCCGACGCTCCAAGATCTCCGCTTAGACGTCCTCACGCCGGACGACTGGTCCAAGAGGGTCGATCTTCGAGCCTCATTCCCGACCAAAGAGACTCCCTCGGGCACGGCAACATGGGTGCTGCTCACAAATCTCACAAAAGACCAGCGGTATGAGCTGAGAGTGTGCTGGGCGGCAACTGTAAGATTTCATCACGTTCTATTGTTGGAAAGTTTCACTTATAACTTCGCAGCAACCGACGGCGTTCTCACTCGACGTATTTGAGCTGCCCGTCGTGTGGGATACCCCCGAGTTGATCACCTCGCTCGCTACCTATGCCTTTTCTCGCCAACCGGATTCGGAGTCTGGCGATGCTGAGAAAACACCGTGGACAGTCGGCCAGGAGCACGAAGCCTCACTTCTGTTCCTCCGCGTGTTGGCAGCGGCAGATTATTACACGGACAACGCCACGCTCATGGCCAACGTCGAGCCCGTCAGAGCCGACCTCATACTCGATCCGTTTCTCCTCAACGCTTTGCCGAGGTCACTACTTCCAACCGTCGGCTACATCATTGCTGTTGCGGTTATGGCATGGTTTCTATCTAGGCTCATTCTTGGGTGGATTCAACCTGTGCTCGCCGCTGAAGGCAAGGCTGCAGAGAAAAAGAGGATATAAGCACGAAATTACCGCAACGCACCGCCCTTCCATGCATTCATGTCTTGGTCGAAACGAAGGAAGTTCTAAAAGACGACATTCCGCGGCCTACAATTCGGATCCAACCCCACCACTCGCCAAGAGTCCTCTTTCAAACGTAGCCGGCCATGCAAAGCGGGAATGTACAAGCAATCTCTGAGTGGCCTTTCTCGTATACGTGCCTGGCACCTCCTAAACATGCCTCATTGTGGACGGTCAGATTTTGAACAGCCGGTTCTCGGGGCGCTCAAAGGCGCTGGCAGTCACGCCATGACCAAGCTAAGCCCTGAAACTGGTTGGCAATGACATGCTTTGCAGCATTCAGTAGTGAGGGTTGCTGCCGTAGCCAGACTGCTGCGGAGGGTTGGCGTATGACTGCTGGTTCGGGTAGCCTCCTGACTGAGAACCCTGGGGAGCACCGCTACCGCTACCGTACGTGGCCGGGTTGTACCCTCCGTACTGCGGTTGCTGCTGATGTTGATGCTGCTGGTTTGACGGAGTGCCGTAGCTGGGCTGCTGTCCATAGGACGAAGGAGGCCCGCCAGCAGGCGGAGGCGGGTAAGACTGGTTGTGAGACTGTTGAGGTGCGCCGTACTGTTGTGATTGGCCCTGGTTTGGCGGAGGATACTGGTTAGGCGGCGGGGGGAACGATTGGGTGTGACCCTGATTCTGGTTAGGCGGCGGCGGGTATGATTGCTGGTGGTTCTGTCCGTGGTTGTTTTGTCCGTGGTTGTTTTGGCCCTGGGGCGCCGGGGAGTTGTAAGACGAACCTCCTGCCGGCGGAGACGAGTGCTGGTTGTGCGAGGAGGAACCAGGTGGTTGGTACGAGGTGGGAGGGGCCTGGCCGGAGTATCCGCCGCCGCCGCTTCCTCCAGAGGCATTGTTCGAGTAGCCGAAGTTGTTATTGCTCTGGGAGTTGGAGTCAGTCATACACGCCAAGTCCGTTCACACGCCTCGAGACCTACACCGTGAGCCGGCTTGTTGCCGCCAAACATGTTGGCCACACCGCCCATGAGGGACCCGGCAAGACCGCCGCCGTGTTGCTGGCCCGAAGACTGGTTGCCTTGGTAGTTTTGCTGCTGCTGTCCTTGGTGGCTCTGTTGGTTCTGATGGCTCTGCTGGCCCTGCTGATTCGGCTTGTTCAAAAAGCTCGAAGCCAGCGCGCCTCCAAGCTTACCCAACGAGCTCTTGCCTCCACCGCTGCCGCCCTGGCTGTTGCCGTGCCCGCCAATGCCACTGATCAACTGGCTTGCGAGACCGCCAAGCGGACTCGAGGAGTTGCCGTGGGAGCCTGACGAGTTGTTCTGACCCGAGTTCTTTCCGCCCAGGAGCGCGTTCATGGCCATGCTCTACAGACAGCAAGTTAGCACGTCAACAGCAGCAAAGGAGACCTGCGAGCCGCGACGGTTGTCAGAAGGCAAGCGGGAACGTACGCCAAGGCCTCGATCTCCGGCGGGGCCATCGATGCCCCTCGTGTTTGTGGTGTCGGGCGGCATGGGAGGGTTGACGGGCTCGAGGGTGCCGTCGGCGTGTCGCACGGTCTGGCTGCCGTCAGGATGCGTGATCAGCTCAGGCTGAGGGACGCCGTAAGGATGATCGGAGGGCTGCATAGGTGTTGCGCCGGTCGGGGCGGCGTCGGTCGGCACGTCCCATTGCGAGAGACCGGTGGAAAGCTGCACGAAGTAATACTTCTTGCTCGAACCATCCCACTGGGCAATCCAGCCGGCAGGGAGGTGAGGCGGGGCAAACGTGGGGCCCTCGGCGCCCGGCGAGGTCGGGCCTGCCATCAGAGAGCGATCGAGGAGGAGCGGCAAAGAATAGGACTCGTATGTGGTGGTAAGGCTGCCGGCACGGTATGTGGAAATTATCGAGAGTCGACAGGAGGTGGTGTCGATTGCGAAGAGCGGCGGGGATGGGAGGGTGGACGAGGGCGCGGTGCGGTGTTGTTGTATGGATATATGCTGGCCGTATCGGCGCTACAAGTGGGTGGCTCCAGGAGTCCAGGGTCCTTATAAGGTTGTGGAGGGGTCCAGTCCCGACTCACAGCCTGCTACCTGACGCTCTGGGCTGCGGCCTGGCTGGTTTCCTGTCGTGTTCGAGGCCCGGACGAGGTGCAGACACTTGACACTGTCACTGGCACAGACCTGGGCGAGAAATGGCGGAATGGTAGCAGTGTCGGATGGACTCGAGGGTTGGCGGTCTGATTAAAGGCTAATGATAGAATTGAGTCGAGGACTCAAAGAAGAGATGGCAGGATCTAGGTGTGAAGCCTTTTGTTTAAGCGGTGGGCGTCGTCGCATGGATATCGCAAATTGCCTCCCAAGTACCACAGCGATCCGAGAGCCTTTCCTATTAATGGCTAACGTCTCAATGCTGAGTCGGAACGGGCGAGAAAGGGAAGGAAAAATGGTTAGAGTTTGCAGTTGGGCGCTGCAGCAAGTGGGAACCTCCACTGTCACTGCAAGCTCACCGAGGACGCCTGCCCGAGATACTTGCGGTAATGTGATGCATCCTCCGGTTCGGTTTGACATCCTGCTGATATTGTTTACTTTCGCGGTGAAATACAAGCACGCCAAAGAGGCCGGCGGAAGACCCTGCTTCACTGCCTGCTTTGCGATGACGAAAGCCCAGCATAGCCTCAATGAGATTGCTGAAGCCTGAACCGCACTTCCAATCCTGCCCGTTCTGAGCACCTTGTCCAACACAAATGTCAGCTGCAGTGGCGGGCGGCCTCACTGGTTAGCGACCCGAACCTATTGGGCTGGGCTGGAATCGACGTGAGCCCAGTCGGGTTCCGCCACACTTGGATTTCGGACATTAGAAGCCCCGGGTAGAGCGAAGCCACTCAGGCCGTGTTTGTCCTGTGGCTGAGCAGTGGAACCAAACCTGGACAGGATCTAAACACCATCAAATTCAACGTACGAAATCTCACGATGCTCGAGATTTGCACTCGAATTCAAAGATTTTCTTTCAGGTGACATTTCACTGACAGACAACTTAAGAGGGCGGAAGGGCGTTGGCCGTCTCTGGCTCACCTATTCTGATGTCTCCCACAAACCGCAAATTCCTCTATAAACAACCTAATCCAAGAGAACTAATACATACAACCATACCCATTCGAAAACTCGAGATCCCATCCGCTCTCCTATAGATAAGCTAACAAGGGCAGGCTTAGCTATAGGAGAGCCTATACTAACTAAGCAGACTACTAATAGAATAACTAACCTATAATTTCTTCCCTTTAGACACTATTTAGTAGGCTAATATAACCTCTATTTCCTCCTATAATATAGTTTATTAGTTAGCTATAAATATTAGTTAGCTATAAACTTTTTCTTATATCTATAAGATTTTTTAATATTTCTTAACTATAATATAATTAATTAATTAATTATTATTACTAATTAATTTA